TGCGTACGCCGGGTGTAAATGGAAGTACGTTACGCGTACTGAACCTTGACCCCGTCTTTCCTTCTGCATCAGACACTTGTATGTGGGGCGTACAAGGTTGAACATGGGGCGTTCTAGCCATATTCAGCATTTGGGTCGTCCTTTTGGGCCTTGGACAACTAGGAGTTGGGCTAGGAATGGGAAGGGAAAATGACCTTTTTACCCTTATTTTGGATATTAGAATATTTGGACTGTTTATTATGGGTTAGAATCCTGATTATTCGTTAGGATTATTTTTGGAATATGATTAGTGTGAGTAGTCGTGTTAGGAGCAGCTCGACTGTGTGGTTCAGTTTTCTTCTTTTGGAGGTGAGTCTTCTTACCACACTAGTGGGTCGAAGGCACCAATGTCGGCTTACTGATCTATATGTGTTATATGTATGTGATTATGTGACTATGTTTGATATGATTGAATGATATATAGAGAGAGCCAATTTGGGCTCAGAGTCATTATGGAGTCGGGGGTTGATATGGACCCGATACAGGTACATGTTGTCATATGGGTTGATACAGACTTGACAAACCCATGTCCTATTATATGTATATGTTTATTGTATGTGGTATTTTTGGGAAGCTCACTAAGCTTTGTGCTTACAACTATTTTTATGGTTCCATGTACTTTATGGTTGCAGGTACTACTGGTACAAAAGGGAAGGGCCCCGCATGATCGCAGCGCATCCACCCATGTTCCACATTTTCTTTTGATTTGGATTTGTACTCTGATAATTATTCTCATTTGACATACTTTGTTTGGTATTGTTAGGAATACTTGATGGTTTTCGATTAAATTAAAAATGAAAATTTTATCCATGATTTTTGGGTTGTTACATATAGCCTTATAAATGCGAAATAATATTGAGTCGTAGTTAAACTTACATTTAGGTTGTTTAAATGGGGTAAGTTGAAGCATTAGCCAAGGAGGTAGGTTTCCCATAGATCTTCCACCTCAATCAAGTGAGTGCATAGTTACTTTCAAGAACATGATCTTAATACAAGTATTTGCTAAAAGTATTAAATATCAGTTGAAAGTTTATCTGTGAATTAAATGCTTATTATCTAGAATATGTGTTAAATGTATATTTCATGACATGCACTTTGCAAACCATATATGGTTATATAAGTGTTAAAGTGTATATATGATATTATTATATGATAATCTTAATATAAGTATTATTATTGAAAAGATTAATGTGTATTAAGAACCTAATACTTTGTGTTAAATATATATAGGGTTTAGGTCATTTTTGGTCACCTAACTTTTGGTTTTGTGCTTATTTGGTCACTTAATTCTTTTTAAGTTTTAAAAGGTCATTAAACTTTTGGCTTTGTGCTCATTTGGTCACTTAACTTTTGGTTTGATCACATTTAGTCACCTAACTTTTAAAATTGTGTTCATTTAGTCGCTAAACTTTTAAATTTTTTTAACATTTTGGTGACTAAATGAAAACAATTTTAAAAGTTAGAAGACCAAATGAGCACGAATCTAAAAGTTAAGCGACTAAATGTGACCAAACCAAAAGTTAAGTAACTAAATGAGCACAAAGTCAAAAGTTTGATGACCTTTTAAAACTTAAAAATAGTTAAGTGACCAAATGAGCGCAAAACCAAAAGTTAAGTGACCAGAAATGACCTAAACCCATATATATACACTAAATTAGGATAATGTTGTCTAAACAGGGTTGATATTGGAAGTTTATTATAGGGATTGTAGTCTAGTCTAGTTTCTAAACTGAGACGTGTAATGGATGCTTAGATCCATTTAAGTTAGATAATGTTATAGTTGTATATTGTATTGCGGTAGTATGGCATAAATAGGAAAACAGTTTTGGAGGTTAACTACAAGAATTATAGTCTTGCCTAGTGATGAAGTAAGACTTATAAAGGATGCTTAGTTCAAGTTATGTTGAAAGAATGTTAGTTATACCTTGTATTGTAAGGTTATTACATAGGCAGGAAATTTGTGATTATTACGGGTATTGTAATCTTGTTTAGTTATACCCTAATACCTATAAGCGATGCTTAATTCAATTAAGTTTGGATATTGGGTAGCATCATATTAAGGGTATGTGTGAGATTGGAATGGAGAGTAGAACTTTTTTCATTGATACTTGTGATTTGGTGGGGTACGGGTGCGTACTGGAGTATTATATTAGTACTCCGCCTCCATTCTAGGCAGCCAGATAGGGTGCGTCTGTATTTGACCACCGTCTACGTGTATCCGAGTCATCTAGTGGAGTATAGATGGCTACCCCTGACTAAAACCAGTGTTGTGGTGTTAATGAATCATATTAATCTAGTGAAAAAGGATCCTATGTTCATTTGTGTACTCTATCCACCATGGTTGCTTTTATTAACTAACGTTTCCTGCCAAGGACTCCCCGAAGAAGTATAGTCGACTCATTGCTTACAGTGATCCATTAAGATAGATCTTATAAAATCACTGTTATAGGACCAATATGTAAGGATCAACGGGATGGGTAACTAAAGGTAAAATGTCTTATAGATATTTATGATGTGTTGTTGGATAACAGTTGGTTTTGCAGGTCATTGATTATGGATTAATATCATAATAATATTTTGGGATTGAAAACCCTATGTATCTCACCAGCTTTTCCAACCCGACCCACTCAAGTTACATGCATCATAGGTAGCTGTGTTAAGACTGTTGGAGACTTGAATAGGATGTTGAGTGATTATGGAGAAGACATGCAATAGTGTTCAAGACCGTTAGGTCTTTACATTATAACTTATCTTGTGTATTGATTTTGACATCCTTAGGGTTTTGATATTTTGAAACAATCATTTGTACTCAAAATGTTTTAATATACTACGATTTTCCACAAACAAGGATTTTATGATTTTTAAAGCGTAAAGTTTTTTTTTTGGTTTTGGAAAATAGGAGATATCACAGAACCGGTTAGTGGTATTCAGTTCGGTTCCCCCGATTCTTCATTTTTGGTTTTTGGTACTGTCAGTTCTGGAACACGTTCTTAGATGGCACACTTCGTAGTAGAACCAAACCGAAACCGTTCACTGGTATTCATTTCGGTTCTCGGTTCCATGTTCACTCTTTAATCGGTTTTTGGTTCATTCGATTATGGTTCTAGTTCCAGTCTGGTTCAATCTGGTTGCGGACCATTTTACATCCCTAGTGTCAACGTTGCTCCCCAAGTGATTGCACTAGCAGTTGCATGTTAATAGGGTTACATGGTTGGTTACACATATACCCTCAACAAATAACTTTTTTTTATTAGCTCAACAAGATCGTGACATGACGAGTGGCCAAACGGATGACGTTATTCTAAGCGACCAAACCGATGATATCATACCGAATGTCCGAGCCGATGATGGTTAAGCGAACTATCTCGTTGACCTAGATCAAACCCAATAAATGGCTAACGGAAATAACGTCACTCTTAATGCGAGTCCAATCATGAGAATGCAAGATCTAGAAGGGCCTAGTGGGCCACCAAAAGTCATGACGGCAGTAAAAGAAAAAGATGTGACGTCTTCCCGATACATGACTAGGCACGAACACACAATGACGGAAGAGCAAGAGATGAAGGAATATGAGGCTTTTAAAAGATATAAGGCCATGAAGAAAAGATTGTTAGAAAAGAAAGAGCAAATTCCATAAGTTGAGGAAGACTAGGATTATGTCTCGGTAGATAGTTATGGATCAAGCAATTCAGAAGGGGAAAATGGTGTAGTCGAAGTCAAAGAACTATGAAAAGAAGGAGAAAATGTTGAGAAGTCCAAAATACATCATGTATAAAAAGTCCGATATGAAGTAATAGAAATAAACGAATACATTAAAACGTCAACTTTTGGTATCCATTCAAAGATGATATCAAAGAAACTCCAATCCCAAAATGGATGAAGGGTCTATGAGTACGACCATACGATGGAACTAGGGAACCTCGTTTGAGAGCTTCTACCTTCTATCGTTTGACAGAATGCTTCGTTTTGAACAGAAATCCTCGTTTGACACTACAAGCTTCTAGCGTGTAGTTTAGACAAAACACTCCAAATCCAAATGCTACTTCACGAACCATTTAACAAAACGCTATCAACTAGAAACTACCTGATACCAACTATTTTTGACAAACACGCCCCATAGTTCCATTCCTACTCGGCCATTTTATTTTCGTTTTTGTTTAATGTTTTCCATTTCAACATAGCATATCATATTTAGGGTTTGTTTATATATAGATCTATTTTGAGGAGCACTTCTTTTTGTGTTTTCACCGGGCCTAAAATAAGTCATGTCCGGCCCAGTAGAGAAGAATAAAAAATACATTTCATGTATTTTCTTTTTCTAAATTAATGTAACTTTTTAAATTTTTTTATTCAATGAGGTATTTTTATTTTCAATTATTATTTGTTATATAAACAATAATAAAATAAGAATGGTGGAATTAGTGATCGAGTATTTTTATAAGTGATGAAGTGGGTATTATTTGAGGCTGAAATGATAATATTTTATTTTTAGTGTTGTGGGGAAATAACTATAACCAATTGTCGGATGTGAATTTTCATAGATTTGGATTCAATTAAGCTGACATTGTAAACAACAAAGACTTACCGACATGAAATATATGTCGACGATCAAAATCTCGTCGACACGGCCTGAATTCACAATTTGACTCTTATGACTTATCTATAGTATATGTAGGTTTAGAATCTATTCATTTTCTGAATTTATTAAAAAAGACGTGTCCATCTTCTCATGGAACAGCTTTTGTAATGGCTTTTGTCATTGATTAATGATTACAACCTGAGGTTCTATCAGATGCCATGCATCTTCATTTCACCGCGTATACCACCTTTTCATTATCTCACTTTCCTCTATATAAAGACCCCCAAATCTCATAAAAGAAAACACAAGAAAATCACAAACGAAGAAGTGTTCAACTCTACGTTTTCAAGCTTCTTTTATATCTTATCGAGTGAAAAGAAAAATGGCACAATACGGAGATCAGAAATACGAAAGAGAAGGTCGGCAAACAGATGAGTATGACAACTCAGTTCCGAAAACTGATGCGTACGGAAACCCACTTCACTCTGCCACCGAGGAAACCAACGGTGAATATGGTGTCACTGGTCACCAGGGTCTAGGTCACGCCACTGGAGCAACTGAATCGTATCAAAACCAACCTAGCGCCACCCCTTTTTCCGGCAGCGACATTGGCACAGGAACTGGTGCAACGACGGACTTGGAGTCGCCGGTCACAAGCAATCTAGTGCCACCCCTTTTGCCAGCACCGGCACGGGCACGGACATTGGCACTAAAAACTGGGACAGGCTACGATCAACATAGCGAAGAAGGCCATGAGAAGCTTCTTGGTGGTCACAGCACAGATGATCATCAAAAGGTCTCCACAACAAAGGCAGACGGCTTTGCTGGCGGTTATGGGGAGGGAGGGGAAACCCACGAGAAGAAAGGGGTGACGGAGAAGATAAGAGAAAAGCTTCCCGGTGGTCAAAACAAGGACGGGCATCAAAAGGTGTCCACAACAACACCAGACGGCATTGATAGTGGTTATGTGGAAGGAGGGGACACCTACGAGAAGAAAGGGGTGACTGAGAAGATCAAAGAAACGCTTCCCGGTGGTCACAAAACAGACGAGCATCAAAGGGTGTCCTCAACGACAGGCGGAGTTGGTGGTGGAGGTTATGGGGAAGGAGGGGAAACGCACGAGAAAAAAGGGGTGATGGAAAAGATCAAGGAGAAGCTTCCTGGACATCATTAGATCCTATGATATCTTTGTGAGGATGATGCATATGTGTATATAGAATAATGAGATGACAGAATAATAATTGTATTGTTGTCCTTTGGCATGCATGTTGTTGATGGAAGCAAGCACAGAGGTGGGAGTGAGCATTGTATTGTGTGTTATCTCGTATGGAATTTGGTTTAGTTGTATTGTGCTTAATTATGGAAGATGCTTTGGTTTTTTAGAGCTTATAGTTGATTATTTTTTTTAAACCACTTGTTAGTGGTTAGAAATTAGTATCACCAAGTTAGTAGACTTCGCCAACGCCATATTAGAATTCCGGACTTCTTAGTCTAAGAGGCAAAGCCTCTACCCAGTAGGCTTATGTGTAAGTATAAACAAGCATCGTAAATTTTGGAATAATCAATCAAGTATCACTAGTTATAACTACAAAGTATGAGTAGTGTGCAATAGCAAATTCAGTCGTATTATTACTACAAAATGCCAAGGTATGTGAGAATCTTCACTTCTCATAGATTACATTTTAAAAACCTCAACGAGTAGTGCAAAAAGTTTAAGTCACTACAAAAATCGGAAGTTGTGGAGTGACAGGATGGGTTGTGTGGGAAATTTGTTGCTGGATAGGTTTTAAAGTTATTGGGGTTGCTTTTGGAGATGGCTTTCGTGTAGACAAGATCCTTCTTATATGTATATTTTTCAGGATATGAATGTTTTCTTGCCGTTATATAGGTCATGTCATTTCATTTTCAGGAGATGTATGTGTACCTTATGCCATTTACTTCGTGTCAAAAAAGAGGATCTTCAATAAATAAATCTTTATAAATACTTACTGTATTTGCCGACTGTATTTTTTATTAACAAATTGATAAAAAGTAAAAAATACTCTAAAAATGTTTTTAACCCAATGTAAATAAATTCGTATAAAGTTTTGTTTATCTCTTGAGAACAACTTATAAAATATTTTTTTTTTCTTTCGAAAGCTTTTTTCTAGAAAGTCATAATTATTTAAATGACCTATTTAAAAGATAAAACGTTTTTCAAAATCTTGCATTGGAGCTGCTTTTATATACATCTTTCGGGAGACACTACAAGAAAACTGGGGCAATAGCTACGGCACAATCCGTAGGTATTCAGTAGGTATAAGGCAATACCTACAGATTTGCTACGGAAAAACGCATGTAGCATAAACGCGCGTGAGAAATTTATACCTACGGAATAGTTACGGCTTATTCTGTAGGTATAATACCTAAGATTAGCTACGAAAAGGAATTGTTACGGAATTTCCTACAGATTGCCAACGAGTGTGAAGTTTGACTAAAATTGACTATTTTCCAACGGAATAGCTACGGAAACACATGGCTACGGATTTCCTACAGATTACCCATGCGAGTCGAGTTTAACCAAAATTGACTTTTCTTGACGGAATAGCAATGCGACTGTTTAGCTACGGATTTCCTACGAACTAACGACGAAATTCAAGTTTGACTATAATTGACTTTGTTCCTATGGAATACCTACGGACCTAGATGGACTTTTCGTAGGTATTCCGTCACTAAATGCCTTTTCTTAAAAAAAAACAAAAGTTATAAAAAATTAATCAATTAACTTGGCCAAAATAAAGTAAAAATTCATTACATTAAACTACAAAATGTCAAATACATTACTAAGCGATTAACACATTACAAAAACATCATTTTCCAAAAATAAACATTACAATAAACATCATTTATACATTCAAAGTGTCAAATATACATTACTAAGTATTTAAAACATAAAAACTAAGAATCATTTGGTGGATTACTAGGTGGTTAATGAATTCTTACATAAAAGCCTCGAATTGCTTTTCAAGTTGTGTTTGTCATCGTTGCATTGCTACTTGCATTGCCTTTGAAATTGTGCTTGCAAATTCTCCAATGTGCCTCTTCAACTTGATCAACATGTTGCATCAAATTCTCCAATGTGCCTAATAAGTAATGAGTTCTAACATTGTCTATGACACCTCGAATAAAAAAGAAAACAATAACCTTACAAATGTGGAAACTTTGAGATTTTAAAATATGTATTCATGAGATGTGAAAGTTTACATACCAAATTTTGAGATTAGTTGCACTGCGTGTATATCCCCAATTCCATCAAATCCTGCGATCATGCCAATAAGTAATTTTATCAGATGAAATAAATGCAACCTTCTCGTTAACTAGATATCAATATGAACACACAAAAACCCTAACATGATTATAAAGCCTAGTACAACTAACAATAATTATTCCCACAATACGAACCAAAACATACATGGTGTGTTATCATCAGATCTATCGCCAACAACAGACATTATATCAACAAACTGAGAAGGTTCTATTGCTCCATATTTCTTTAGCAAATCCTCCATTCCAAATGAAACCATTCTGCAGACATATAATGCCAAGATAACAACATATGAAAATAATATAACACCTTACTCTCTCTATTATAAAAATGATATAGAGTGTTATGGTGATACTAACTCATTGTAGATATCATTTGAAGGTCCAAAAATAGAGCCATAAGATAGTTCACTAGCACCTTCTTTCTTCATTGATCTACAAACTTTGGACAGGTGCAAAATATAATATGGGCAAAATTTTGGCATTCAGAAATCCAATCTAAAGACTTTACAATCACTGTAAGATCGGACTACTCCAATGTGTTGAAAATTGAAGAAAAAACGAGTCTTTGAAATTCAAATGCACTGAAAAATAAACGAGCATATTACTTGATGGAGGAGTGGAGGTGTGGGGCTGGCTGCTGGAGTTTGGAGATTTTATATTCCCTTTCGGCCTTCCTGGTGGTGGGGGTGGTGGTCTGCCCTGCTGCGACACCGTAGAATCGATGGTGGCAGTAAGGAATCTACGACGTCGACAAATCGATGGTGACCGGAAGATAAGAAAGCGGCGTTGTGAGGTGGAGGCGGAGTTGTGCGAGCCAGAGATGTGGGTTGTCAGCAATGAGTTGGGTCAAAAAGAGGAAGAAAACACGCAAATAAGTTGTTGGCGGGGATGGCGAGGTGGGGTCGCAGGCTGGGATGGAGGCGACGGTGTCACTGGCGAAGAGAGACAGTCCGAGAGTTACAGATCGGAGGAAGAGGAAGGTCTTGGCAGATGATTAAAATTTTTGGTCAAAATATTTTAGAGGATCCCGCTAAATAGGTCCTAATCCATAAATGGATAATTTCATTTTTTATATTTCCAAGTCTACAATCGTTACACCCTTTTAAAAGGAAAAAGACTAGATATGATTATTACAATTATAACAATCAAATTTATGTATATTTCTGTGTGAATATACCAAAAAAATAAAATTTCGAGAACTCACTCTCTCTCTCTCTCCCTCTCTCTCTCTCTCTAACATCCAACAAAAATTAGATTTTTGATGTTTTTCCCCAAACACACACACACACATCAGACCGTCAAACGACCACCTCCACCGCCTACCGGACGACCACCGCCACCGCCCACGAAACCACCATTTTCTTGTCAGAATGCCACAAGACCACCGTACGACCACCATTTTCGCGAGATCTGTTCGTCGCTGCCCCCACCCTTCGCCTACAAGAAACCACCGCCACAACCTTCACTTATTTCTCCGACCAAGCCATATGTTCTTTGCAAAACTAGAGCAACACCTCCTACTTTCTCCAACGTCCCTTACCAGAAAACACCATGTAACGGGAACCACAACTCACAGCCAGAACTAGGGTTTTCAGAGCTGCCGCTACTAGGGTTTTTAGATGCGGTGGTCGTTTAGGAGGGAGGACGACATAAGCCATGACAGTTAAATCCTAACAGATCCTAAAAATTTTCGTTTGCTTCGCCACTAAAAATGGTTGCCTGAATTGCATCTTCATAAGCCGCCACAAGTGTCTTGAAACCCTAGTAGGGGTCGAAGGTGGCGGCGACTAGGGTTTAGGCTTGCTCCCCCTCGTTCCAACCGCCGCCGCAGCCTCTGAAAACCCTAACTTCGTCTCTCTACATTTCCAACGACGACGCCTTCTAATCAGATCTTGAAGATGAAAACCCTAGTTCTGGATGAGAAGGGTGGGAGTACTAGGGTTTCATAAAAGTAGCGTTTGAAACAGATCGGAGATGGTGGTGTGGGAATCAGATCTGATTCAAAGGTTGCGTGGTCATGGTGGCGCAAAGGAGAAATGTGATGGATAGATGGAAGACAGATAGAAGTAATTCTGGTTCGCAGGAGATGATAATGACGAGAATGTTATGGTTTAAGGAATTCTAGCGTTAGGGTTTCAAGAACAAATCTGAATTTGAGCGTTAGGGTTTCAGGACATGGGAGTTAACAGAAGAAAGGAAGAGGGCGGCGGAGGTTAGTGACGGCGGCGGTGATGGCGGATGGTGGTGGCAGTTAGGGTGTTTTTGAGTGTGTGTTTTCCTAAGATAGGTGAGGTGTGAGGAGATAAGAGGTGAGTGAGTGAGTGAGTGAGTGAGTGAATGAGTGAGTGCGTGAGTGACAGAGAGAGAGAATTTTTTTTTTCTTTTTTAATTTTTTTTCATTAATGTAATAAAAAAATTGAAAGAACAAAATACAAAGGTCAAAATCATCATTTAAAACCAATATGGATCAAACTCGCAACAAAATGGAAACTTTTGGACGATTGGTGCTAGTCCAAACCTGTTTGGCCAAAGTGGCAATTTTCGACATATCACAAGGACTATTCTTGCAATTTTGTCATATATATAATGTTTTTTTAGTCTTAAGCTCAACCTAACAACTATAATACACATCAAACAATTTTTATGTTATTTATTAAAATCAATTAAAGTAAAAAAAATCTCATTTGAAAAAAAATAAGTATAAAATGAATAATATTAATAAAGTTAACAATAAAAATATAATTATTAAATAAAGAAGCTAATAATGATTAAGTGTGACTATTATAGGCAAATGATGTAAAAAGTAAGGATCTAAAATAAGGCTGATGGGAGTGGTGTCGAGTGCACGGAGCTCGCTCCACCTCAGCT